CCTTGTTAGAATCGGCCAATTCTTGAACTTATAAATTCTAGTTTTGTCCAAGCAACGGATGTAAAGATATAATCGACCTGTGATTGGCAATTGATGGCTTATTATATAAAAATGTATTCCATCCTAGTTGTTGATCACATCCACTTACACATAATATCTTTGTGTTGTAGTGCTACTGTCGTTGACTAGAGGGCGCCGCTTTTCATTCTTGAGTGGAGCCTCATTGGTATTTGCAAGAGGAGTGATGACTGGATCTAGATTGATTGATAGGCTGAGACAGAGTCTGGCCAAAATCATTTACACTGTTTTTTGGGAACAAGGATGGAGAAATGATATGGTGCATGTTATGCAGCTCTGTTTGTAACTATAAACACTCAGTAAAATTCTTAAATTTCACCCACAGTGCCCCTTTAACTGCGCAGCATGGCGAAGCAGCGTCAACTTCTCTGCTGTGCTTGGAGGGCATTGTAATTTGTCAGAGTTACATACGTTTTATTTTGATAATAGTTTTATATATTTTTTTATACACAAACATGGAGGACAGCGTAGGTTGAGGACAACGTAAGTTATTAGTAGTCATATATACTTGTGCTGGTGCCTGGTCTATAAAGGCGAGAGGCGGGGTCCACCCTGGACAGGTCGCCAGTCTATCACAGGGCAAAACAGAGACACAGAGGGCAAACAACCATTCACGCACACACTCACAGCTAGGGAGAATTTAGAGAAGCCAATTAACCTAACAGTCAGGTTTTTGGACTATGGGAGGAAGCCGGAGTACCTGGAAAGAACCCACGCATGCTCAGGGAGAACATGCAAACTCCATGCAGAAAGACCTCGGAAGAAATCGAACCCAGAACCTGCTACCCACTGCGCCACTGAGCAGCCCAGGGACTTGAGGTGTTATACCTCTTTCTCATTCAGCATTGTCGGCTGCCTTATCCAGCTACTTCCACTGCTTAACAGCTTTAAATCCATCCACAGATTGGGGACACAATTTCAGACAGTCAAGTGAACAGCCACAAAAAATAAATAAAACGTAGCTGAAAAAAAAAAAAATATTCTAGCATTAAGACAAGCAGTGGTGAACGTGGCCAAAAGAAACAAGCTTGGGTGTTTTTGGCTTCCTGATTCGGATGTCCTGAGGAAGCCTTCCTTTGGAGATTCTCAATTCACATCTCACTTGGGAAACAAACAGAAGCCCGGAGTGTTGCATTGAAGATGGATATCTGGGTTTCCCTCCTGGATTTGTAACCACGCCAACCGGACCTCTTGCAAGCTGCTGGTTGGTTACTAAGACGATAGACAGTGAATCACATCAGGCTTTAAGTTCTGTAAACAGACCTAACGGAGAACAGAAAAAATAGAGTTCAAGCACATAAATAGTGGGACGGTTTATTCATCTATATTCAGTTCAATTAAATGTTATTTTTAATACAGTACTTTATTAGTTTTTAAGTGTGAAATGAAAGTTATGACAGAAAACTAAAGTTCTGTAATGGTTTCACCAAAGTAGAGAAATGCTCCAACCAATGCTAATGGTTAAAGCATTCACAACGGCTCAGGGAAGCCGAAGGGTTTCATGTTGGGTCATTGATTTATTCATAACGGTCTCTAATATTAATAGAAACGTCTTATTGACTATTAATTCCCCAGCTTGTTACCCTTACTGCACCCTGTACTTAAAGTTTCAGGTGAAGATGACCCATCCCTCCTCACTCAGAATCGATTATTGATGCACTTACAACCTCCACCGTGTCTGCGCCTATTGACCTCTTTCAGAGGTATGAGTGATGGAGCAGTGTAAAGACCAGGGAGGATAAAATATTTATCTCGTTGACATTATTTGAGGTCTGACTCATGCACAGCCAGTGACTGTTGTGATATTAATTCTTGCTCTGTTTATTTGCTGTCTGCTAACAGGAGCACAGACGATGATGACAGCTCTTATGATTTGCAGGGCTGATGGATTTGTCGCCGTGTCGTGGAGATAAATGGGACCGTGGTTAGTCAGCCAATAAACCGCGTGTTTTTATTTGCACCCCTGCTTTCATCAGAGGCCTTTCAGTGCAGCCATGGTAAACAGAGTGACAAAAGCTTAGGATTGATTCTTCAGTGACAGTTATGTGTCCATCAACAGGGAGGTGATTATTGGTTATCGGATGGGGTCATTTTTGTGACCTTGATGCAACTTTTAGAAGCTGTTGGGTTTATTTTAAAGTAAATCACTTTTAGCTTTTGCTATCCTACACACAGCATACAGATAGTAGCACAATATGACACAGTTATCTTTTGTAACATTTCAGACATCAAGCACTGATTGAATGCAATATCTTTTTAGCTGTATAGATACTTTAACTCCTGTAGATTAATACAACGTTTGATCTGGATTCAAAGATGCATTACGCCGTTTTCTAAGAATACCGCCACCTGTGGCCAAAAAGCAAAACTGCAGCCCTCTTCTGGTTGTTTTTATAGCTCTCACTAATCAGCTTCTGATTATCGACAAAATGCATCTTGAATAAAACGTTTTGTTTACTAGACTGGAGCCATTTACAGGGTTTTCACGGTTCATTAGAAATCATTAAAAGTCATTGAATAATTATTTTTTAAATTAAGCCTGAATTGGCATTAACATTCATTAAATGTGATTATTTTGGCATTTAAAATGCTTTATTTAAAAAAAAAATGTTTATAAAAACTATTTATTAAATGATATATAATATGCAAATATATTGCGATATATTTGCGAGGAACTGCTTCCGGCTGATCGTCAAGCCGTATGTTCGGAGAGTTATAGGTACTTGTCGCATTAAAAATATTTTTAAGAGCATTAAAAGAGCATTAAAAAGCATTAAATTGGAGTTGCTCATTCCTGTATAAACCCTGATTTAACATGGACGCGTTTGATGTCACATCTGCCGAACAGCCCGGGAACTTCCGACCTGAAGTAAATTCAGGAAACCAGGCTACAGGCTTATTGATACATCAGTACTGAACTACTGAGGTCTGCTCATTAAATTACGTTTTAGTCGTAAAGATTTAAATAAAGTTATTTGAACAATATTTTCAGTTTAAAAAATGGGACAAACTCTAAAGCTTACAGAAGTGGTGATGATTGAAAACTGTACATAGACATATTATGGATGCTTGGCTCTTGTGGTTGGCATTCTGTGCATCTTTATTCCTTTTCCTTTTTTAAATTCTTATTTTGTTTGCTCTTCTATCCCTGTGATTGTTGCACATCTGCTTTGAGTTTTAGTGTTGGGTTCTGGTCTAACTGGTCTGATTGTTTGATTAAATGGACCTCCACTCAGCCGTTTGATTTATCTTCAGTTGGCTGACATTTGTTCTGAAGCTGATGGGCTATTGGTTGGAGAACGGGGTGTTTGTGTCCTGGAGAGGCTGTAAGATCACCTGGTTTAAAACTCAGACTGTCACTCTGGGTCCCTGAGCAAGACTCTTTACCTCAGATTGTTCCCCATTTTCTACTTTGCATTGCAGCCCAATCTTTAGGGAAGACAAGTTTTCCCAAAAAGGGATTTTTCCTTTAGATTTACGTACAGGCTTTTACTAATGTTATACACTTAATATGCTTTCATGGGTTTCACAATTTAGACAGTTGCCCGTCTGTCTCATGAATTTTTCCCGCTCCACCCATTAGCCCAAGGGTGGTTTCCTCTGTTCATGTGCCACAAGCTGAATCCCAACCACGGCTGACTGATCTTTAAAAGCTTGGAGTAACGATGTGGTTTGTCATTGCATGTAGAGAATTACAAGTCTGTGGCCAAAATAGGTTGGTTAAAAACATTCTTATACCAAATGCTCTTTTGCTTACAGAATTATGTACAGTGATGGTTGTTTTTATGTATTTCTCCTCTCTGATGTTTTGACTCTGTTTATATAAGCATTACATTATGTCCTTATATGTTAGACATGCCGGTCCCAGATCACAATACACCCTCCGAAAGCTCGTAAAGATGGGAACCTCTTTATGACATTTAAAAATATATATATAAGTTGACATAATATAAACATAGCTCACTGGTTCTGTTTCCTGAACTTGATCTTAATGTTCACAACCTTTGACAGTTTGTCCTAATGTGGAGCTGCGATTGATGTGGGGTGGGTGGGGTTGACGTTGGTTTTGCAGCGAGGAACTCTTGAATAATTATACATCCCAAACACACTGAGATATTGATGGATCCTTTTCACCATGGTAATTTTTTTTCTTTTGTCTGTGTTTTTAAAATACTGCTTGAGGTTCTCGTTGAACCCTTCATTTGTAAATGCTTTTATTTTTAGTTAAATAGTTCTTGAAACCAAACGTTTACCTCTTTCTATAGTGAATGTGTTCATTTGCAATGATAAATGATAAACTTTAACACATCTTTGTGCATTTTCTGTCTAAGAAACAAAGCTTTTTGAAGTACTGAAGTTTATAGTGTTGATTCATTATTGAGATACCAGGTATGTGGTGAAAATCAAGAAAAAAAAACTCATCCTGCCATAATTCATGAGGTGGACTGGAGTCTCTGCTCCAACCTGAAAAGGTTGTCCACATTGTTCAGTTTAAAAAAATCACAGCCTCCGACTCAGAGACGAGGACTTTTTAATTTTTAACAGAAATCTCGTGCAGATAAAATAGTTTCAAACAAAAACGTCAGAGCAAGAAATGACTAACAGCACAGAGTCCCTTTGCTTTATGGACATTAAACACTGATAGAAACATTTTATTTGCAAAAGAATACGGACTTGCATAAAAATGCTAATTTCTCTCTTTGGCCCAGAAATATTGTGAAGCTAAAACTAAGATGTTTAAAATTCTAGAATTTCTTTAAAGACAAATGAGGATGCCAAACATATCAGTTTACATAGTTTTTTTTTTTCCCATCTACTGGTTTTATCAGTTAGTAACAACGATTTACAACTCTGCTCAGTATTTTGTATAAAAGTCCAGCTTTCTAATTACCCATCTTTTCATCATCTCTCCATCCATTCAGGTTGCAGGTTGGAGCAGTGGTCAGCACTGTTGGCAACAAGAAGGTCCCAGATTTGAATATTGGTTGTAGCCCTAGGTATGTGGAGTTTTCTTGTTCTCCTTGTGCATACATGATACACTCCTGGTACTCCAGCTTCCTTTAACAGTCCAGGACCTTCCAGTTTATACCTTCTTGCCTTCTTCTGTAGTCTTTTCCTGTTTCTGTTTCCATATTTGATGCCTGAGTAATATAGCAATATCTGTCATGGATTGTTTAACTTCTGGATATAAGTTGTTCTTTTTCTTAATGGGCCTAAAAATGAATAAGATGATTGAAAAACTACTGAAATTTGACATAAAAAATGTGTAGAAATCTTTTTTTTTAATTGAACCACAACAGGTTGATATCTTATAGAACCAATCAGTTCATTTCCCAGCTGGGTTAACCATTCTACCTAAAACTAGAGGGTTAAAATCCTCATTGAGGATTTACAGTTTCCATTCAGAATATAGCTCAGCACAGCCAGAACTCAGTCGTCAGTTGTATTTCAGAACTGCAATGGGTCAGATGTTGATGTAATCCCTCCTTTCGCAGCTGGCGGGTCTGATATCATGCTTCAAAATTAGACTTTGAAAATATTCACAAACGAGCACATTCATACACAAAAACACACACGCACACAGACGGAGGCAGGCACTTAAGCACAGCGAACAAGGAAGGCTTCTTTCTTTTTCCTTTCTGTTTGAATGAGGAGCTGTGGCTCAGCCGTTGAGTGTCTCCTCTGTGTGCCTGTGAGGTCGACAGCCCAGGGAAGATTAGGAGGAAGCACATCAAATGAATGAAAAGGATGAAAGAAGATGGAGAGGAGAAAGCTGATGGTGCTAGAACCTTGCAGCGTTACACCCGCTTTAAGAGAATTATCTGTGCAAGGTCTGAGAGTGGACAAGAAATGCACACAAATGGTCACATAATGCAGCTTGACTTAAATCTCATTAAAACTCTTTATTAATCTGAACGACTTGATTCATGTTAATTTATGAACTGTTCTTGTTTTCCTCCCTCATCCAGAGGAGCCAACACTTTTTGCATAACTAGTGCAAAGCCTATCTATATAGATATGCTGTCATCTTGCATTCTCACAAAGGCCTTATTTGATCCTGTCACAGATTTTAGGGAGTTTAGAAGCTGTTAACTATTAAAACTGGGTGTGTTAGAACTGGCCGTGGGACCGACTGCAGGGAGTTTGTCATTAACTTGGATGGTTTGCCCGAAAAGCATGGGTGGAGTTATACGTACATAGAAGCTTTTCATGGAGGCATGCGTCACCATAGCAGGACCACAACACATAACCCTGCTCCCTCCCACTCACTGGTTTCCATATGAACAATTGGCAACATTCTTAACACAGAAATGATCCAATTTCCTCTTTAAATCCATGCACAAAAAAAAAGTTAATTCTTCTAAACGTCTAAACGTTTTTCCTCCATTACAGAGAAATGCCTAAATCCTTCTTATAACTATTTAACAGGACTTAAAAATGCTTTCAGGAAGGAAATTATGTTAAAATAGTTGCTTTTACACTTCCTACAGTAGCTGGCTGATTTATACACAAATTGAGCTTTTAATGTATTAAACACCATAATGATAAAAACCTGTTTTAATTCATCTGTAGTTATAGTAAAATTTTAAATCTTATGACAATAACAACACAAACTGTAACTTATGCATCAATTTCAACCTTTTTTTTTTCTTTTTTTGCCATATAATTATGAAATTCAATGATATTAATGATAATAAAGGTTATTTATAATTCACCTCACACCAGCAGTGTTGTTTTTTGACAGCCATCTTAGATTTAGTCTTAGACTTCAGAAGGAAAACTATTATTAGTCTTAGTCACATTTTGGTCATTACTATATGTATGTCAGTTTTAGTTGACTAAAACTTAAAACTGTTTTAGTCTAGTTTAAGTCAGTTTTATGTTGCAATAAAAAGTTAACCTTAACAATTTCGAATAACCACCAGATTCTTTACCAGACTGAGAGCTCTTGCCTAGATTCTACTATAGCTGGGTATAGAATGCTGCCATGCAGTTCATCATTGCTGTTGGGCAGAAAACTTTGGTTTATAGAATTCAAAAATACTTTTTTTATGAATTAATGCCTTACTTTATAAAAAAGTGTTTCACACTTTTGTGAAAACAGCAGATCTAGTTCAACACACCAGATTGGTTAATATAGCAGACAGACAAGCTTACAAAATGTACAATAAAGCAATGGTTTTAAATATTCAAGGTTTCCATTCAAAAGCAATCCTGATCTACTATGAATTATGCATTAAACATTAATCCAGTGATGTGGTGCAGCTGGTGCATGCTGTTGTCAGTGATGTCTGAAGTTGCAGATGGATCAGTCAGTAGGAAAGGTAAGTTATCTAGCGTTGAGAACTGGATGGTGAATTGAAAGCATGGCAGAATTTTGCAGTGGTCATCTGTATAACATGAGCTTGAAAATGTTTCTCTGAAGGGATGATGATGAGCTTTTCAGGGAAACATTCGATAGTATTGGAAAAATAGATTGCTAGTACTTTCCTGAGCATGTGTGGGTTGGCTCTTTGTTGTTCCTGGTTGGCTTGCTTTTGGACAGTGAGTTCACATGACTTGAATTTCCGCTCTTGGATGTGTCCAGCTGTTTTCATTTTCCATAGTGTATTATTGTACCGGTGAGCACAGCAAGAGAAGCTGACCAATCTAGTTCTGACAGGGATGGGAAAGGTCCAGAAGGCTGGTTAGCATCAACTTAACTCGCTCATTCACTGATGGAGGAATTGCAGAAAGGAGGTGGATGTCAGATGCCATCATTTCTCAAAGACTTTAAAATGTAATAAGTTGGGTTAATTAAGTTTAATTCTGAAAAGATATTTTATGTATGTGTAAACTCAGGGTTGCCTTTTTGTATCGGATATAAATATGGTGTTTGTTGTTGTGAAGAGAGGATGAGTAGGGCATCATGGAGACTGCCATGTGGTCTGACACAGCAATTCTTAACTTATAGGGTTGTTAGGGGTGACAAGGTCCAGGGTATGACCTCGCACACAAGTGAGGACATCAATGTACTGCCTAAGGTTAATAAAGAAGTCCTGTAAATATAATTTTACCAAGAAGTTAATCAAGAATGCTTTGATTTCTTAACTATCATGACTTATGAAGATGTTGCTCGAAATTAGGTTACAAGATAAATCTGGTTTAAAAATTTGACTTTAGTTTTTGCAGAGAGAATGTAGGATGGCTTTAAATGTTTATATAAGTTAATGTTAAGGTTCTTGTTGTGTTTTTTACTGTATAGAGCATTTTATATTTAGAAAAACGGATTGGTTTGAACTGAGGCATACAGCATGTTTTGTTTAACAGATATTATTGATAGTTAAAGTAATTCTATGCTTTTTCTCCTCATGTTTTTCATATCGTTTCTGTTAAATATGAGGTAAACGTTTACTCAGACAAAATGCTGATTGGCCTCATTTGATCATAATTTAGATGAGGACCCGTATCGTCTGTGTTTACATGTGGCACACGTGCAGAAAAACTGTGCGTCAAGCCCTGCGGGCCACAGAGGATGTTGGCTAACTGAACCCATCTGCTGCTTTTGCCAAGCGTAAATCCCGCTAATCAGAAACTTGCAGACTTTTGGACAGAACAAATCTCCCTGTTTAAGTTTCAAAGTTGGCCGAACAAGTTTTAAACAAATCAACCAGTGCAGTGAGACGCTGCTCTCGCTCCCTAAAAGGAAGAGCTTCAGTCTTCGTCCTGACTTGACTGTTAATACAACTGGGAGGATGGGTGGGTATCACAAAGCAAAATGGTTAACTAATCCCTTAATTTATGACGTTATTATGTGTGGTTTAAGCCAGGTTCACGTATGACTCAAAAAATAAAGAAGGAATTAAAAGCACACGCTGCGATCCACATGCTTGCATGGGGCTTGTCAATGCCATTAGCAGCCAATATGTGCACACACTCAGACATACTAACAAGCGGCTGTACTGAACAGTGCCGTTAGGCTACAATACATGCACTAGACCCAGCCAAGCGTGAGTGACCTCTTTTAATGCTGTAGGTCTGTTTGGCTCCCTTTCTTGCGTCAGATTGTGACGTCTATTGTGCAATATGCACAAAAGAAGGATTAATGTAGCTCCTGGTCTTTCATGAGTGTGCCCATTGTTGTGTGTACGACGTTCACCTTATTTATGCCAAGTTCCTCTCAGACTTAATTTCTAATGATGGTGTGAGAATTATTTATGCATTCCCGTCTGGGAGTCTGCATTAAACTCAACATTACACCCGTAGGTGTAATAAACAGTTGAACCAAAGACATTAAAATGCCATGGTCTGTTAAGCTAGCTGCGCTTTTTTTGGACTGTCTTATCATGTTAAGTCACACTCTCTTATGTAATTTGTTAAATTGACTCTTATCTTTCTTGAAAAAAGGGTCACTTGAAGCCCCCTCACCTCGTTATCTAATCCAGTCTTTATTTATAGATGTAATGGTTGAGTTTTTCGGGATTGAGTTAATAATCTAAAACTGTGTGAGGGGAAAATCTGTTTTTTCTCCCATGCTTTAGCTGATATTTGTTTTGCATGTTTGGGTGCCGGGTGAGATGCTCAGAGCTGTCAACAGAGGTGTCAAACAACTGACAAATTTTGTGAGCAATCAATATAAACAGATTATTTAGGAAATAAAGAGAGAATTAGACAGGGTGCTGAAATGTGAACTTTTAGGTTAATCTACTCATAGATCAATATCATTTTTTTTCCCTTTTCAATGTACTTTAATCGGCGCAGTGGGTAGCACTGCTGCCTTGCAGCAAGAAGGTTCTGGGTTGGATTCCCGCCCCGGGTTCTTCCTGCATGGAGTTTTCATGTTCTCCCTGAGCATGTGTGGGTTATCTCCAGGTACTCCGGCTTCCTCCCACAGTCCAAAAACATGACTGTTAGGTTAATTGGATTCTCTAGATTATCCTTAGGTATGAGTGTGTGTGAATTGTTGTTTGTTCTGTTTGTCTCTGTGTTGCCCTGTGATGGACTGGCGATCTGTCCA